TCCCTTATAACATCTTTAGACATTTAGAACATACTGGAGATTTCACTTAGGTGAAACATCAGTCTAGAAAGTTCTGTCACAGAACTCTGTTTATAACATATTGTATATTTTTTTACTCTTTCTCCTTGATGCAATGGCTTTCCATTTGAACACGGAACTCCCGAGTAATATACTTGAGTATTCTCTGCACTAATGCTGTGGTATCCAATGTCAGTCTGAGTAATGATTTCATTCTGGAGATCTTCTGGCCTTGTACCTGCTTCAATGTCGCTGATTTGGACTTAGATTCAGTATGAGAAATATACCTTGCTTAATAATTTCATTTTGTACTTTGCCCACACAGGAGCTGGAAAGCGTTTTCCTTTAAATCTAGTCTTGGCATCAACCCTGTCCTGAGTGCCAGATGGCAAATAGTTTCCCTGAAGATTGCAGAAGTGTCTCAGAATGGACATTTTACCTGGGCTGGCTGGAAATAGAAGCTCTGGGATCTGTGATCTGGAGTCTCTGTCTGACACTTCTGACAGAATTGAGGAGGAGACCTGGTATTTATCAAATTCTGCTGAAAAAGTCCAAACAATTATTGTCATGATTAATAATTTAAAGAGAAAAACTATCAAGCCATAAGGCTCAGCCACACACCTGCCGTTCAGGATCTACTGGGAACAAAAAAGCACGTATCACAGCTGGACAGAGAGATGGCTACGGTCTATTCCTACTAATCTGTTAGTTCCGTTATTTAATGATGGTGGGGTTGTGTGGTTTGAAGTCTGGAAAATAAGGGCTAAATTTTCAAGTGGAAAACCATAGTGGCCTTTAGTGGAGGCCTCAGAATAATAGAAGATACTAAGGAAGAGGATAAAGCTCAAATTTAAAGGTAGATCTAAAGTCAAAGAACTATGGAAAGTTTTTCCTAAAGAAGTTGCCCCAGGTAAAGGGAGATTTATCCCACTTGTCATGGAACTTGGTAACCTCAGCCTTTGAAGACTGAAAGGCAGAATGCTGCACTATTACTCTTTCATTTCAAAAAAAAGAAACATTGCAGCAGTTATCATTTCTGTTCCTTTTCAAATACAATAGCTAACACATAGAAAATAGTTGCTGCAATTCCTCTAATTTCATCCATCAGTGGAATGCTGTAGAAACTTGATTTGTCAAACAGCACTTAAGACAGTAAGTTTTCAGGCATTATGGAAATACACTTAAAGCAGAGTGCCCTTACAAAAGTCAGTATGAAGGAGTGCCCCAATATAGAAGACAATAAGCTAAAATGTAGAAATCTCTCTCACAGTCACATAATGGCAGGTAATTATCACCATCATTATTAGAACAAAGGTATGGCCCAGCAGGGGATGTTTAATTTCCAGAAAAACTGCTTTTGTGTTAAGGTATTTCCATTTTTGCTGGGCTGGCATTGTATAAATAATAATGACAACAGGAGTGATCTAGTTTTTGGCTCTTCCAGGGCTGCGGTTGGTCCACAGATGGATTTGTGTTACAGGAAAGCAGTTACTTACTGATAATTTGATTTCTTCTGCACTGTAAGCAGGGCTCAGTAAACTGCCTCTTCTGCCCTCTCCAGGAAATGTCCCACTGAAGCCCAAAGGATACGTATCACTTTTTGAACCAGTAATACTGCCTTGGCCATATAAAGCAGGACTATGGTTTCTGTGGTATCCTGTGAACACAGCAGCCTGTTGACATTCCATTTCCCATGCGTCTTTCTTTTGGGAAGTTCTAAAAGAGAAAACCAAATCAAAGTATGAAAACCAGTTGTAACTGAGCTATCACAGCGAAGCCAAGCATGATTTTACTTTTGTTTGTTTGTGCAATTTTGATTACTTACCTGCGCAAACTGCTTCATGCAGATCAAAAACTACCAAGCTGCAGCAGTTTTGCAGCTTTCCAGCTAAGTTGCTGTAAACATCTGAGTGTGGATTCTCTGTCTGCCTCAGCTATGACTTAAATCAGCAAATTTAAACCTATTCACTGGAGGTGCAGTTGGATAACCTTGCCGTATAATTATGGCAGGACAAGAGCTAAACCACAAACCTGCTTCAGGTATTGAAAATACCAATATTCCTTAAGAGTTTGTTGGCCATCCTTTGCCAAAGGATATCATCCTGTTAGTTTTTCACTGGGAGAAGCTAAGTAAGCAGTCTTCAGCCAGGTCTTCACAACTTAGACTATAGTCTGATAGGAACTAGAGTGAATTTATCCAACAAATAGAGGGAATGAATTATGAATGTGAGATGAGAAACAAAACCTGTTATTAGTGGTTGAATAATCAGTCAATTTTGATCTAATATAACTTTAAACAGCTATGTTCAAATAGCTAGGATTTTGCTGAATAAAAAAATTGTACAGGTATCTTTGATCCTGCATTTTTACTGCAATACTAATTTTGCCACTGATTTAATGATAACATACAGAAAAAAAGAAACCTATTTTCTTCCCATGCAAAATATCTTCTTTTCCTGATAGTTAACTGAACAATTCTGAAACCATATTGTTCAATATGGACAATTCTGAAACCAAGAGTAGCTTGCCCACATGCCTGCTCAATTAGACTGATTTTCAGTTGCATCTTTGCTTGTATTTATTATGTATTTAATTCAGCCTGGAGACTAGAAGGCTGTGTGGAGACCTCATAGCAGCCTTCCAGTGTCTGAAGGGGGCCTCTAAGGATGCTGGAGAGGGACTCTTCATCAGTGACTGTAGTGGTAGGACAAGAGGTAATGCATTAAAACTTAAACAGGGGAAGTTTAGATTAGATCTAAGGAAGAAGTTCTTTACTGTGAGGGTGCTGAGGCACTGGAATAAGTTGCTCAGGGAAGTTGTGAATGCTCCATCCCTGGCAGTGTTCGAGGCCAGGCTGGACAGAGCCTTGGGTGAGATGTTTTAGTGTCAGAGGTGTTAGGGCAGAGGTGTCCCTGCCCATGGCAGGGGGTTGGAACTAGATCATCTTAAGGTCCATTCCAACTCTGACTATTCTATGATCCTATGATTATATAGCAAAACATGCAACAACATTTTATACATTTCTGTTACAATATTTCTGACTGAGGTAAAAATTTCCACTGTACTGAGGTCTGTGCTTATAATCAAATTGGAATTGTAGTCTTGGGAAGTAACAGCTATACTCAAACATGATAGCTGTTTGAAAAGATCCCATCATTGCAATGCCCTAAAACTCTTCACTAATTTGAAATGCAGTTATAAAAGATTTTAAAGACAAGTTCTCTGACACTGAAGTATAAATATTATAAATATTCAAGAGTATGCAGTGCTGCTCAGATCCAAGGAAAACAACTCTTTTTTTTTTTAATAAAGAAGAAGAATTTGCCAAGCTCAGGGAAAGGACAGCATTTCTTGCAGAAAGAGCACACCATCATTTTCTAATCTTAATTTCAGTATTTGGTGTTGGGAGAGGGTGGCTGTGCAGTCTTAATGAACCCTGCTTGTTCTTAATCCCTGGTGCTGGGTTTGGCTGGGGTAGAGTTAGTTTTCTTCACAGTAGCTGCTATGGGAATGTTTTGGATTTGTGCTGGAAACAGTGCTGATAACACAGGAATGTTTTAGTTACTGTTGAGGAGCACTTACACAGAGCCAAGGCCTTTTCTGTGCCTCACACCACCCCAACAGCAAGTGGGCTGGGGGTGCTAACCCCAGCTGACCCAGTGGATATTCCAGACCATATGGTGTCATCCTCAGTCTATAAATTAGGGGGAAAGCTGGCTGGAGGCCAGTGCCTGGGAACTGGCTGGTTGGTGGGTGGTGAACAACTGCACTGTGCATCACCTGGTTTGTATATTGTGATTCTATTATTATTGTTGTTGTTATTGTTGTTGCTATTATTACCACCATCATCATTATTGTCATCATCCTTTCCTTTTCTGTACCATTAAACTCTATCTCCACCCACACATTTTACTTTTTTTTTTTTTCCCAGTTGTCTCCCCATCCGACTGCAGGAAGGGAAGGAGAGTGAGGAGAGGCTGTGTGGTGTTCAGCTGCCTGCCAGGTTAAACCCTGACAGCCTTAAACATGAAAATGAGCACTCCATCAACAGAGTGTGCAGAACGACTCAGAGAACTAATGAAGAACGTATTTTTCTCTGGCTATAAAAGACATAGTGATTAAGATACTCCAAATGCTATAGGAAAGCGAATTATAAGCATGATTCTGCAATATTATTATTATTGTATTATTATTATTATACATTCTAAAATAAAACTCTCTGAGAACATTCACCCAGCCTTCCAGTTTTCTAATCAGTTAAAATGTTTTTTTTTTATGGGGGCAGAGTTTCCTCCTTTCATTCATTCTTTTCCTGAAATAAACACACTGCTTTTTGGCCACAGATGCCTTTTTTCTCTCTCCCCCAACCCAGTCAATTCCATCTATTGTTTGGATGAAGGGCACAGAAGATAGATGGTATGAATAATAAAATCACAAATATTTTTTTCATCTTGTGTTCTGACCTGTTTGGAAGTAATTTTCTCTGTAAACCCACAGTAAAGTCTGTGATCTGTGTTCTTTTTTATTTTCCCCCAGAACCGCTTCTCTGCGTATTTAATAACAGTTATTACTGTTATGCTATAGCTTGCTTCACTAAGACCAGAATTTTCAGACTCAGGTGCCTACAGTTCTGGTGGCTTTTAGATAGCAAAATCAGATACCTCCGAAGAAAGGACTGACTTTATAAAGGAACTTCATTCCTACTGTAATCCATAGCATTGCTGGGGCTGTTTGCTATCTTGGAAAAACATGACACCTACATTTAGGTGCTTTGATATGGGTACTATGCCTTTACTTCAGACAGACTTCACAGTTGGGGTTTAAATATTTGCCAGCTTAGTGCAATATAATACGTAAGAACAGAGTTCTTTGAATGCAAATGGAAAGGTAGGTAAATATCTGCAATTTTTCAAAACTGTCCATTTGTTAATACTGGCAATGCAAATACACTATAACTGCAGTTGAAAAACTTAGACTTTCAGTGGGTTTATTGTCAGAAAGTATTGAACATATCCACATCCTTCACAAAAATAATATCACTGTGGACATGGTGACATATGGGACAAGAAGTGAAAGAATGATGTCTTCACAAAGGGAATTTATATAGACAGGATCATTTTTTCCAGACTCATATATAAAATCAGCCTGGTCTTTATGTGATCAATGACTTTAGTGGTGCAAACCAAATTACTTACACAGCTTGTGCTGGTTGTCATAGCTGGTCTTGAGAAAGAAAACAACAGATCTTTAGTGACCAGAATGTCTTCAGAATTTGTTGCTTTTAGCTGGCAAGTGTAACTGCTGGCTTGGATTGTAAAACTGGTTAAAAAGTATTTTCCTAAGACACTTGTTTTCACTGCTTCTAATTTATCTACTGCAACACCTGATCCAGTGGTGAGCATGACGAAGAGTCTGTGAACTCCAAAAGGTAGTGAAAACCTCCTTGAGACACATAGTTCACTGTCAAGACAGATCCTTTAAGTGATCCCCAGCTACCTTAATAGGCATTCAGTCCTAGCCTTTGCCCCTCACTTTTGCCAAATGATGAAAGAGCACTTTAGCTTGTCCAATTATCTGTTTTGTGTTTATTTTTGTGGTGAATAAGTAGCCTTTCATTGGGAACTCACATGCATGTTTTAATTTTGGCAGAAATGGGCTAAATAAATCAGCTTCATCAGAGGAAACCCTCTTCAATCATGCCAGACTTCAAATCAACTGTATGTGGCCGAGGTCTAAATAAAGGATTGGAATCTTAAGGGTGGGGAAAGGTTCTGTGAATGGCAATTAGAAGTAAGTCAACTACCATACATGAGAACAGTAGTTACTTAAAGTGGTTGTAGGTAGGATGTGACTACAGGCTTTTTTAGGTAATGGATGCCACTCCTGCAAACCTTACTCTCTAATATTTAGAAATTCCCTGCATACTAAACAAAAGCAGAAGTCAGGGCTCTTCCTAAACTGCCAATAGAACCTCCTGCAATTTCCTGTGTTTTCTCTAGAGGTCTCCTATCTAGCTAATGCCTGTGCCCATGCCTTGGATTTTAGTACTGGTTGGGAGACATGACTGAAATCATTATAGAATATAGCTGGTCAAAGACTTTACTTTTTGTAGTTGTGCAAACCTTTCTACGTTTCTGAATGCAAATAGGAAAAATGAAAAGTAAAGCTTCTGAAAATGACTCTGTAAAACACAAACACCCCCCTTGCACAAACACCATGTTTTCTACTTCTTTTACTCTATAAAAAACAGTGGTTTTGTCCTTTCTTCAGTGCCATAATTACCATGGAAACAGAACTGCAAATTAAAACAGAAATAACATGGTTTATGCTCACAATAAAATAAAATATACCCTAGAGTTTGAGTCAACCAACATAAATTGCCTGAATTATCTGCACACATTTGATTGTTGAAAATTCAATTTTAGTTTTCTGAGAAAATCTTGAGGTAGTTCCTGTTTGAGAACAGGGAACTGACAGTACAGAGAGGGCTCAGTCTTAAAGAGACTGGATGGCTGATGTGTATGTACACTACATGTAGAATTTGTGTATCTATTTATTTAGCTAAATAACTTTTCATTTAGCAAATCAATCACATGTTTCAGATCCTGAAAACCAGGCTCAATAGATCTGTTTCACCAAATTCATTAGAATCATAATTTAAATTGTGTTCGGTAATGTGGTTGATGTTTCTGTTGTTAAAAAGGTTCTCTCCCCCAGGTTTCTCTCTCCCTGTTTTGGTTTAATGTTGGTCTTCAATAGCTAAGTAATCAGAATGCTGCAAATTACCTGCATAGTTCTATTGTCTCATGCACTTACATTCTCATGAATGAAATTTCACAGTTCCTCATGTACAGCAAGTTTTATTCCTGAGAAAATATGACTTTCTCTCTATTAAAGAGAGTGGAAGCATGAGCAAAAAATGTACTCACCAATTTTTGTTGAAATTATGAGACCTACAGGTGCAGAATACTCTGTAACTTGGTTTGTAAATATTTGTTTCAGCAAAACCTTCAACATCTGGCTTCCCAGGGAGGTGGTGGAATCACCATCCCTGGGTGTGTTCAGAGTCCTCAGTGACATGATTTAGTGGTGGACTTTGCAGTCCTGGAGTAAAGGTTGGATTTGGTGATCTTAAAGGTCTTGTTCAGCCTAGTTGATTCTATAATTCTATCATTTGAAACTTAGGAAAACAACCATACTTGCCATTTCCATATATGTATGTGTATGTGTATTATGTATATGCATATATATGTACATGCACACATACTATATATATATATGTATGTATTTGTATACACCTGAATACTACCTACAACACTAAACTATATATTTAACAAAACATTCCAAAGGGAGTTTTAAGCAAGAATGTAGCTACATATAATGAGATGCCTTTCTATTTTTCAGCAAGAAAATGACTTCAAATTTTGCCAATGACTGAATGTATGAGCTTGAAATAACCTGCGTAATTTTGGCTTCAACTGATCCACATTAGTGTTACCATGTAAGTTCTTTTTACAAACGATCAAAATATTTAGCTTCCTATTAATTTTTACTCTCACATACTGTGAAATATTATTTAGCATGGGGTTTAATTTTCTTCTTAGTACTGCAATGCCATGATTATAACATGTTTGAAGGTAATTCAGTGCTTCACTGAATACAGGGAAATAAGAAGGAAGTCATCACTACAATGTTTTCTGTAGCGTGAGTACTTCTGTCTCATTATTTTTCCCTAACAAGGAGTTTATTGTAGTAATTATTTATTCAGGGCATCTGAAATTATGTTTCATTTAAAAATCAGGTCACCCAAGAACACCAAAACTAGACAAGGCATTAAAATACATTTAATGAAACTTCCAACAAATGAAACTGGTGGGACAGAGAGGTTTTCAGCAGGGGCTGTAGTTCAAACTGCTTATTAAGATAACCTCCTGTGGTGCAGTTTACCTCTCATGTTGGTTTTTATTTGGCAGTAAAAATACATCCTGTCCTGTTTTGCAAAACCTGGAAGAATAACTTATGCAGCACATAAAAAGTTTTTAAAGTCATTTCATGTGAAAAACATTTAAAAAATGATCAAACATGTCTAGGACTTCATTTATTGCCAAATTCAGTCAGCCATCTAGAAAAATGTAGGGAATTCTTACAAATATACTAACTAGGTCTGATATTTATGTTGGTAGGAGTTCTGAATGAGCAGAAACAGCAGAAAAGCTTAACAGTTCAGCCCAGTGAGATGCTTCGAAAAAACTTGCAGGAAGATTCATATATATGTACAATTTAAGTATTACCTCTCTTCCTTTTCTTTCATCTTTGAGTGGGTTTGGTAGCTGTGCTCTGTTTCTCCGTATGTACCCATGTGACCCAGCAGTGATATTTCTGTGTCATTTTGAAGTTTAACAAGGCTACTTTGTAATCTTACATTCTCATGTTCTGCTTTGTGAATGGAAGATGTGAAATTTCCATGTTGTTTGTTACATAAATCTATACTCTGTGCAAGAAGATAAAGCCATCATTATATAGTTATCTGTCTTTTCCACAACAAATGGATGTTAGTATTTTTAACAAGCAAACACAAAACAATGTTCTATGCTAAAGAAAGACCTAGCTACTATATATAATCATGCAGCACTTAGAGCAAACCAAGAGAATTGCCTCCAGAAAAAAACCCACTGTAGATAAATGGAAAAGAATGGATAACAGCCTCTGTAACACAATAAAACAAATTAAAGTTTCTCAACAAACATGCATCCAAAATATTATTATCATAAATTCATCACTTGCTTTGTAAAACTTATGACATAAAAGAAACCATAACAGCTATAGCTGCAGACTGTATTGCTCCTTCCAGTAACAATCCCACCAGAAATAATAAGAAAAAATTATAGAAGTTCATTACTTTACTAGATAGAGGGTATGTCTACAGGCACAATTTAATATCTGTGTCAAGATACAGTCAACTGCAGCTTCAGAAGCAGTAAAGACACATTAGCACAGTGCTATCTGTGTTACTAAACCCTGTTTCTCAGCTGGGTTAGTCCACACGGTATACAAGTCGTAATACTAAAAGTGCTAGCAACATGTGCTCTGCAACTAGGGCTTAAAGAGGCCCATCCACTAAGGTATGAAGAAGGGAAGACGGATATTAGCTCTGGAAGTTGACAAGCCAGGATACTGCATTCCTTTTATGTCCTGTCACTTTTTCTATAAAGCCTACGCTGCACACCAGAGCTAGCTAATTCGGAACTACTTCTCTGCATAATACTGCATTGCATTGTGTAAGTATATCTGCAATAGCAGTACAGTGTCATTAACAGAAAAATATCAAATGATTTCATAGAACCATAGAACAGTGTGGGTTGGAAAGCACCTTAAAGATAATCTATTCCAACATCTCTGCCACAAGCAGGGACACCTTCCACTAGACCAGGTTGCTCCAAGCCCCCTGTCCACCCTGGCCTTGAACACTGCCAGGGATGGGGCAGCCAGAGCTTCTTTGGGCAACCTGTGCCAGTGTCTCACCATCTTCATTAAAAAAAAACCAACCAAGCCCTTTCTTATGAACAATCTAAATCTCCTCTATTTCAGTTTAAGACCCTTGCCCCTTCTCCTGTTACTATGATCCCTGGTAAGAAGTCTTTCTCCATCTTTCTTGTAAGCCCTGATTTAGAACTGAAAGGTTACTCTCCATAGGAGAGGTGGTCGAGTCCTCTAACTATTTTTGTGGCCTCCTCTGGACTTGCTCCAACAGGTCCATGTCCAGATTATACACAAGATACTAAACCCCAAAACATTCTATTAAGTTTTGCTTTCATGTATTTCTAGATTTACCTTATTCTTTTAGAAGCTGGTAACTCATGAGTATTAAGGATTTGGATCTTAGTATACAGTTAGCACAACTGAAAACTTGTCTATTCCTTGCACTATCTGTTCTAATGTTATCTCTTCCTGTAACCCTTGCCTCTCTTATCTAATTTTAGGGGAAATTTATGAGCCAAGCTGGCATGGAATTGCCATAAAGTAAAAGGAAATTTAGTAGTTATTGCAAGGATGGCAGGCAGGGGCTCAGCTGTGTCTCTGAAGTGAAGTGGCAGAACAGAAGAAGGAGAGCACTAAGTCACACTACCACTACTAGTTCTCAAGTCAGTTATAACAGCATGAGCCCCAGAACTGAGCTGGCACAGCTACATTGCTTTTGAAATCTAAACAAGTAACCCGGCCTGGTGATGCATTACACCACACTGACTTAAGCTAGCATTAGTTTGAGGAGTCTGTGTAGTGCTCTGCTGTACTATGCAAACACATCTGTAAAAATCTCTCCATTTCATGCAATCTTAGCATGAAATACCTCACAGTCTTTTATGTTTAGATTTTCCCAATACATTAGTAAAGTAGGAAAGACTTGTTAAGTCCATAAATGTATTGATACATGTAGTGACCTTGGTATATCTACTGACTGGATTTTACTGCTCAAATTTAACAGATGTGGTATCTACAAGGATACTTTTCAGACAGTTCTTCTCAATCTTCATGAAGAATGCCACCATAGAGAACAGCTAGAGATGCATACACACATCCATCTATATTTCCACAATAATGTCATATATACACATACATATATTCATAATAGTGTACATGTATGTATAGGTAATACATCACTGATAGACATATATGCTATTTTAAGGGTGTGGAAAAATGTGGCATTCTTTCATACATTTGTCAGTCTATAGTAAGGCAATTAAAAGGCTACAAATCCCCCAAAGATGTATTTACAGCAGTATTTGCAAGCAACATTGCAGTGTAGATTAAATAACTGCAGATGTTCTGTAAGCAGGAGACATTTTGAAGCTTTATGTGGAAGGCAGCATATACAATATTTATTGTATCATAAAAACTACAGTACTACATGATATTATGGCACACATTTTATGAATTAAACTTTAAAAACCCCTGTTTGAAGAAAAATAAATGCTGAACTCCAAAAATAAGCTGGGTGGGGGCAAAATATGTTTTTCACACAGTTATTTAAATATCATATGAAGAAACCAGTAATATAGTAAAACGAGGACATATCTTCGTATCTGTGAGAATGATGACTGTTGAAAATTACATATTTTCTGAAATAAGTGATGTAACTTACAATAAATAAGCTCCAAGAAACTGTTTATTGTCTAGGCAGTTACTGAAAAATTTACCTTACTTCTACTTTACTACAGTTAAGGTCAAAATTATTCCTAGCTATACCCATCTTCAGGCTGAGTTAAATCCACTTGGTGTTGATTATGTCTCACACCTTATTTCTATTAATTTATTTTACTTAGGTCAGAAATCTCTAAATCTGCCATGATCTCAATCTACATTTACAGTAAATATAAGGAACTGTTCTGCGTATTGCATAGATTAAAAAAAAAAATACCATGCAACTTTTACACACCTGGTTTTCCACCATCTCTTTTAGATGTGTGTTTTCAGAGCTCACAGCTTTGTATTTGGAATCCAGGAACTAGGAAAAAATTAAATTCTCTGTTAAATACAAGAACATCACTGGTAACTTTAAATGACACTGAGTATAGATATATATGTTTAATTTTACAAAACATACATAATTACAAAACTAAATACAATGAATTATGAAACTAAATACAATGTTTTTTAAATACAGCAATACTAAAGCAGAAAGAACTCTTAAACAACCTATAAAAGATACACAGGTGCAATGCTTCTGATTTTATTTACCTTTTTTCACTTAGGAAAATATGGGAGTTCACTTGCAGTTAGGATATACAAAGAGAGACAGATTTTGCAGGCCACTGAAACTGTGTGAAATCTTAGTCATTGAGCCTAGAAACAACATCCACTCTTTTTAGTGCTATGGTGGGGAATATAGGCTGGTAAAGCCACACAATAGGAGATGTCTCATTTTCCCAAGCACTAACTTTCCTATTGTCAAAAGTGAAGTATTACATTAAATACAACTTTCAATATGCGGTGACATATCTCAAAAAACAGAGATCCCCAGAAAGCTCTAAATATGAAGGTACTTTTTGTTTACAAAACTAAGTAATGAAGGTAACATATTTGTTTTTAATACTAAAAATTGACATTAGAACACTGGTATCTTACAGTTTTCAGCTTTCAAATTATCAGAATTTTCTAAGCAGATAGGTAACATTCTTCAAAAAGCTTTAAAAAAACCCCTGAAAAAGTGTTCTAGATACTCTAACAAACAGTTCTAATGATAAAGTGCATATAATAACAACAAACTTGAAGTTTTCAAGCTCTTTTGTGTGATAAAATGATAACTACAGTCAATAGTCAGAATGAATTGCAATTTAGATGTACGGTTGACATTTGCCAGTGCATTCTTGTTCCAGTATCAATTTGGCTGCTCTAGAAATACTTCACAGGTATTACAGCACTGCTGATGAAAACTATAGCAAGAAATGTAATGTCTTTTTTCGCAGATAATATATGTCATTACCAATAGTGTGGAGTAAAATGGTCTACACTGGTTTTGCCTACTTGCATACCTGTTGTTTTGCTAACAATTTGTCTTTTATCTCCAACTCCATTTTTAACTGTCTTTCCAGAAGACTAGCTTTCTCCATGATAGTTGCTATAGTGACCTCCTGATGAAGCTCTTCTGTCAGGTCAGAGATTTCCGTCTTCATTCTTTCCTTCTCAGAGTGATGGGACTGCTCCTCTCGATAAACATGGTTTCTTATCTGGAGCAAAATGTTTCAAGAAGAAAAAGTGTTACGAAGCATATATGATTGCATCGCTTGCTACCTATCAGTGACTTTTTTGCTGTCGCTTCCAAGGTATCAAGTCTTCTAACTGAACCAGAGATTTTTGACATTGCATAATAAAATGTCTTCATGAATCAGGGCATATAGCTTTATTTATTTTTATGGGGTTTTTTTTAAACCCTTCTGTTGTTCTTTCATTTGCCTATTCAGTGTCAGAAATGAACAAAATACAAGACATTTAAATTGACATTTAAAAAGAATGTACTAAAAATAATGCTAAAAATTGGTATTTATGGCAAAGACTATCCAAGGAAATATACATTCAATATACCTAAGTCTGATTTAGTTATACTGCTCCTAAGTTAATTTAGGTTTGAAATAAGTTTAATGCAGCCTAAATTAACTTAGGGCAATATAAATAAATCAATCTAGAGACTCTTTGATGAGAACCTATGTTAGAAATAAAGAGCATATACAGTAAATCACTGTATGAGAATTTTTCCTACTGTAACATATAAAATTTAAGGTCAAACTTTCTGCACTGCATGCTGTGCACAGTTCTCCAAAGAATCAGCACAAAGGTTGTTTTCATATCTTCTACTATAACCAACAATTCAGCACTGATTGATAGGTATTTTTTATTATGTAAGAAACAAAACTACATAACCCAGCAAACAACCTTTCAACTCTATTTTAATAATTCCTTGCAGGACTGTACACGATCAGTAACAGATGGCATTTCATTTTTATTTATGCAAACTATACAGAAATACTAGAATTGTAAACAAATAGATGGAGATGCAAAAAAACTCTAAGAGTTAGATCATGCCTATCGTGCCAAAATTGCTGCATCCAAGTCAGCTGCATGCAATTAGAGATATTCCTGCTTCGAGTGCTACTGAGCAAAACCACAACATGCCTGAAGAGGAGTTCTGAGCATCCTCTACTCCCAAAGTGTTTTGGCCTGCGAAGCCATATGCCAGTCCACAGTGCTATGCTACCACTGCTTGCATACAGCACTTGAGAAATGTGCAATGCAATGTGATATGTAGCTCAAACTAAAGAGCGCTGTGTAGATTGTGCAGCAGGTGACTGACTAAGCTTGCCCTTGTGTAGCTATCTGTCCTACCGACTTGTAGCAGTTGATCTGTTGACATATCTTTCATCTGAGAGCACCTACAAACTACTACTTACCTCCTAAAGCCTACTAATTATTTTTAGCCTTAGAGGGTTTATTATCTGCATGGTCTTACTTGAATCACAGTGATGTTTGAGCATGGTCTCTTCCCTCACTTCAGTGAAGTAGCAAGCTCTGCACAGAATCAGAATGTCAATTTTACAGCTATGCACCTACCTCCAGAAATACAACAATATATGAAAACTTTCTCATGTATGAAAACTTTATGCTCTCCTAAAACCACAATTTATCTCCTGCTCTCTTCTACATATGATCATACCCAAGGTCAGTACTTTTCTCTCTTCTAAAAATCCTATTTTGCAATTAAGGCCTGGAAATACTTAGTGATATGAAATACCTCATTTAGCTCTTCTTGCTGGCGTTCTTGACTTTGTGCCAATAGTAATAACTTGGTGTTTTTATTTTCTAGTTGCTCAGTAAGTTGTACACAAAATGGCTGATGCCTTTAAATAAGAAATACACAAAACATGAAACAAACAGGACATACAGTAACCTTTACCTTACAGCATCCTCTCTACAGTGTAAAACTGTGGAAGTGCTGTGTGCTGATGAAAAAATACAACAACCAAAGATTTGGCCTAATACAGGTTGGATCTTGTGAGATTTCTAGAGATTAAGGACAATGCGAGTGCATGCAGAAAGAATCCTGAAATCTCTTGCAGACTGGTATTTCCTATAACCTCAAATAGCTGAAGTAGATTAGATAAACCATAAAAAGATGAGTGTTTCACTCAAGGGATGTTAGGGAGAATCTTAATTACACTATTTCCAAAGTGCTTTAATGCTGAGAAAATGGAAAAAGCTTGTAAACATATAAACAGAAATAGATTAAATGCATTGATTTGTAAAGATCTAGGCAGCATTAAAGCCTTTTTATAGAGCCTGCATCTATTGCTGCCATTTTGTTGTATATAATTGCCAATGAAAATGTTTATTCTAATACTGTTTAGAAACCAACATTTGAATCCAGAGTATCTTAAACCAGCTTTAATTTATATCAAATGTAAAAATAAAAGTTATTAGCTCAGAAGTACTTCTTAATTTAAATATTGTCTTCAACATACATTTCCTGCATATCCTTATAGTCTCTGATTTTCTGTAGTTCTGTATGCATCTGTTGGCATTCCAGTTGTATCCTTCTCCAGAGAACATCCCGGGACTGCAGCTCATTCCTCATTTCTGAAAAGCCTGCCTCCATGTTCTAAACAAACAAGCAAATACATAAATAGTTAAAGTTAGACTGCTCAAGAAGGCGTGTGTTAACACATCAGTTTCAATACCTGTATAATTTGGATGAAAGGACATACATGGTTTTATTATAAGTTTCATTTATGCAAAAGACACTGATTTCATGTCAGTTCTCCAGAAATGTAATCTAAAAATCAGATGCTGAATATTCGTTAGCTCTTGAAATGTTCCCATGCATCTGCCTCTGAAACCATCATAGGAAACATCATTCAGAAGTTCTTCATTGTACTCATTCATTTCATTCATGGCTTGACTTCGCGAACGAAGATTTGGGAAGGGCTTTACCCACGCTTACTACAAGCACACTGATGACTAAGAAGGCCAATGTGGGATAGGCAAATCCGGCTACAAAAAGCACAGCAGAAGGTCTCCTTGGGTGGTATAGGTGGGGTGCAATTCTTTCTGCATTGTCTTTTCTCCTCAAGACTAGTTCTTCGTGAGCTCTCAAAGGAGTCAATGGCATTATGTATGGTGTGCCTCCAAGTCTCCCGATTGGAGGCCAAGGTGGACCACTGTTGGTAGTCAATATGGCCAAGGCTAAGGTATTGTTTCAGGGAGTCCTTATATCTTTTCTTTGGGGCACCTCTCTTGCGGCTACCAGTGGAAAGTTCACCATAAAACACAATCTTGGGGAGGTGGTGATCCTTCATTCTAGAGACGTGCCCTGCCCAGCGCAGCTGCAATTTCAGCAATGGCCTTGATGCTGGTGACCCCTGCTTGTTCGAGGACAGTGACATTAGACATATAGTCAGTCCAATGGATGTTTAGAATTGTACAGAGGCAGCGCTGATGAAAGCGTTCCAGGAGTCGCAGGTGATGATGGTAGATGACCCATAATTCAGACCCATATAAAAGAGTAGACAATACAATGGCTCTATAGACACTGATCTTTGTACTTTTCTTCAGGTGTTTATTGCACCAGACTCCTCTATGGAGTTTTCCGAAGGCTCTATATGCCTTTGCTATTCTGTTGTCTATCTCTTTGTCGATCGTGGCATCCAAGGAAATGATGCTTCCTAGATAGCTGAACTGCTGAACTGTCTTAAGCTCTGACTCGCCAATGATAATGTGGGGATGGCGATAATCTTGCGGTGCAGGTTGGTAGAGGACTACTGTCTTCTTCAAGCTGACTTCCAGCCCAAAAACCTCAGCCGCCTCCGCAAAGCAAGATGTTAAACGCTGCAGAGCTGCTTCTGTGTGGGCAACAAGGGTGGCATCAATTTATAAGCTTGAAAACTACAAGGCTATAGAAAGGCAGGATTACGTGCGTTTCTTTATTAAACATTTCCTGGAAGCTTGGAGCAGATCCATCTAGGCGTCTGTACTTAGCCACGGTGTGTGCTCAGTCATCTTCAACACTAGTTCTATCTGCATGGAGTCAACTGCTTATTCAAGTGAATATCACAAAAAAAAGATTCTTCTTAGGGACTCCACAAATCTTACCTCTATTTTGCCATTAGTTTCTGACTGATAATGTGATAGACAACCTGAAGACCTATGTTACATTCGGCATCACAAACTCTGAATTTCCACAAATATACTGAGAACATACTCAAGAACTTGGGAATATAACCCACAAATAACAAAAATAGCAATAATAATCAGATTCTTGCAGTAATAATATTCAGAGAATAATTTCCTCTCACCCAATATCCAAAAGCATCTTCCAGATTAAAACAAAGGATTTTTCAAGGATGTTGATCCTTTGCCTTTCAAACCATTACACTAAACCCATTAGTATTTTTCATAGTTTCTTCATTTTATTTTAATACAGTTTCCATGTTTAAAAGCAAAAATAAAGTCTTTAAACTTTCATAAGACAACTGGAATCCAGAAATGACATGAAGCAAGGAACTTCAAAGGTTTGTTTTCTTTAGAGCCTTATATGAGAATGACCTTCCTTCCAAGAAGCCTGTGGGTTTTCTTCGGCTAAAAGGGCTGCTGCAGACAGATATGAAGTGCTTTTGCTGCATATATAGGTTCATTCATTTTATCCTTTGTTAATACAAGGCTGAGAGAGCTTTTTTAAACTCTGAAATGCAAGTCTGGGCATATTCATGTGAAATAAAGCTTAATGAACTGTTAAAATTCTCTGCAAGACTTGCTTATGGTCATCTTTATGACTTCAACATTCAAGAAATAGCCACAATTATTTTATGATATATGAATTTGGGGGAGGGTTATCCCTCTGATTTCATTCTGGGGTGGATAAGAGGAATGGATGCTGCACAGTTGTGTGGTAGAAGCCCTATCTGACTGCAGTCATCATACAGATTTACATAAATTGTATTTTTTCTGTGAATTGTAATAATAGCAGGAACAACAACAGCCACGGTAATAACTGAAACAGAACTTCAGGTCAAGAGTTTCACACATCACTGCAAAAAAAAAAATCATTTAGATATGTACCACTTATTATTTTAGGATTAAAACACCAAAAAGAAAAGTAATTTTGAACCACAAAACTTTAGGTTTTGTTTAGAGAATATTTAATGGAATACAAGTTTTTAAAGAGTGTGTTTCAATCTGAAAAAAAAATCCAAATCCTCTCTTTTCTTCCCATGTTTGATATCAAAAGGAAGTCTCAAAAATTTCCTCATCAAGTCCTGTTCTAATACTACTCAAAGCTGTTTGTGGTGGATTGACCCTGGCTGGACTCCAGATGCCCAGCAAAGCTCTATCGCTGCCCTCCTCAGCTGGACAGGAAAGAGAAAATATACCGAAAGGCTCATGGGTTGAGATAAGGGCAGGGAGAGATCACTCAGCAATTGCTGACATGGGCAAAACAGATTCAACTCGGGGAAATTAATTTAATTTATCACTAATCAAATCAGAGTGGGGTAATAAGAAATAAAACCAAATCTTAGAACAACTTCCCCCCCACCCCTCCCTTCTTTCTGTGCTCAGCTTCACTCCTGATTTCTCTACCGCCTCTTCCAGAGCAGCACAGGGGGATGGGGAATGGGAGTTACTGTCAATTCATCACACACTATCTCCGCTGCTCCTTCCTCTTCAAGAGGATATATGGAAGATATATGAGGCACAATATTAGGCTTGCTGCCATTGCCATCAGCCTTCTCCCCACCTAGATTCCCATTTACCTCTCCCTTCTTTACCCACATCAGGTCCATCTATTTCCATCCTCCATGTAGCACTCCTTCACATAAACCTGCTTACTTCTTCTGGCTGACAACAGGCCTTGTTCTTCCTGCTTTCTCACACAGACATTCCTAAAAATATATCTTCTCTGAGCTACACCTTTTCACCATACATTGAATTTTACATCAGTGTTTTCCTTCTGCAGCTATTTGCAAATGTGGCTTTTCTAACACAGCAGTATTCCACACTATGAGCACAGTTATTCTGCAACTTTCTGCCCTTTAGCTGACAATGTTATGTACATCTATCTCCACTGCTACTTAAAATATCTTCAGTGCTTCCTACAGCTCCTGTATTCTATTCACATAATTCCAAAAATCCTCTTGCTTGAAGCATTTGCTTTAAGGCTACAGCATAACACCTACTTTCTCAGTTGTACATCTATCCACCTGCTCCAATTGCCATGATTTCTTCCACTTTGTATTCCAATCCTACCACTTTTGATGGCAGACTTTCTAACAGGCCTCAAACCAGAGATTTTTGGTTGCATACCAATAACTTGTATACTAATGTGCAGATGAAATGTGTAACCACCACATGAGCTAAACTTGGCTGTTCAGACAACACCTGAAATTAACCTCCACCATGTATATGTTAATTCGCATGAAGTATATTGCATATGCAGTTATAACCCTGCAAAGTTGTCTATAAACAGAAAAAGATTATCCCTCTTCAGAAAGAACTGAAGTTATGATAGGCCACCCAATACTTTACTGGACCTTAAAGTGCTTCAATGAATAACAAAAACGTAATTTATATTTGTTACCAGAAAAACATAGTAACGAGAATCTCATTCCTGATCTATTTCAAACATAGCTAATAAAAAAGTCTGTAAAGATCTTGTATTATCGCAGGCTTGTCAGAACTCATATATCAAGACCAAAAGAAGAGGCACAAATGGCTGTCTTCAGACATCAGTGCTATGCTGAAAAATGGTAAACTAGGGATAAGATAAAAGCTGAGGATTCTTTACATGGTTGGCAACTTAAAAATTCATTGACTGCAAAATCTTCCCTCAATAATAATAAAGTGTACCACACACGTTTCTATATACTTATTTACTAGCTATGTGGCAGACACAGTGTACAAGAAGGTGTAAATCAGATAAAGAGGTTTCATAGAAGTCATTTATGCCCAAGAAACCAAGTGAACTAGGATGAGTTTTTGTAGATGCTATGGATATAGGAAAGTTACCAAACCCCTAGATAAACAGACAAGAATAAAATATAGCACTATGTATCAAACACATTTCTGTTTTCTTTCTAACTGCCACTAAAAAAATGTACTGTTCACAGCTCATTCTGTGTTGCTGTAAATCATATACCTCATGTACAGATCTTTTATAAAGGCATCTCAGTACAACTTTTTAAAGTATATTCCTAAGTAACTAATTAACCAACATTAATCCCTCAGTCATCAGGGGGGAAAAGAAAACCCATCATTACCTGGCACTGGTTTTGGTATATTTTTAGATCCTCTCGGAGTTTCAGATTTTCCTCTTCTAGTTTATTCTTGTTTATTGCTATTTCATTCGCAGTTGCCTTCAGTTTTTCAATCATCAACTCATCCGTTTCACTTTTGCACTGGTCACAGGTAATTACCTCTTCTTGTTCGTGTTCCTTATTGCTTATTTGGAATT